TATAATATCGTACGGATGCATTGCCAACAATGTTAATTAACAAAACAAGGGGAAACTGTATGTGAGCAGTGATTGAGAACGTGGCTCATTTCATAACTTTAGGTAATAAATCATTGCTATTTTAGAAATATAATACATAATAATCTAACGCACGAATCTAAACATTTTCATAAAAAACAAAGGGTTATTTACGCAAAATAAATGTATAAAGCACTGATAAAAGAGGCCGTCTCTATGAACCACTGATAAACAGCCTCTTTTAGATCTGAAATAATTTGCGTACTCTAGAAAGTAATTATTTTTATTTTTGTTGAAAACAATTAGTTTAGTATTCTATATCTTCAGTAGATATGTGTGTCTACTACTCGTATATACATATATGTCGGACGGAATTAATTACCAATTTGTTCTCCCTAAATGATGATGACTATGAGTTCGGCATTATCAGTTTATCAGTCAAATTATGATATGCATAGTTTGTTGGTGACGAAGAAGAAAGAATGCCTTGCAGTTAAACCATATGAACACTATATAGTTTATACATGTAGACTATTCGGTTTTTGCCCAATTTTTGTTTTTGAAAAATAGTACACTGGTCATGTAAGTTACGACCAACACTCTCCCGTTAAACCTAAGACGCAAACATGTATAAGACGTATCTGTACATCTATACATCTTAACAACATTGATGAATGATAACCTTCTGATTCTCCATATCTCATCAAGATACTAGTTTATGCATTTCGTAAAAAGAAAAAGGAATATAATAAAAATCAGTTATGTCAACTTTGCTAAATACTAATGATTATTTAATATTTTTCGATCCCTTTGTACCTCCTTCCGAAGTGACAAATTATCATACTCCATTCCTTTGTTAATGCATATTCAAACTTGTCACTGATTAGCAACATTCATTGATCCTTTAGGGTTTAGTGATCACAAACCTATTTATATAATTAACTAAATTTGCTTTTGATCCAAAATAAAAAGTAAATACAATAAATTGATTTCGGTCGCGTAAACTAGCATTAGACAACACACTCGCTCTTCCATGCTTGGCAGGACTTTTTCCTCCGAAAAATACCTTTTCGATGAATCATTTTCATTGGTAAATGTATCGCCGGTGTGTAAACGGGAGACTATCACAAATCAGTTGTCTGAGGTTTGTGACTTTGTGTGGATGTCGTCTTAATTTCTCTACAAAACAATGGACAGTACTTCCCTAGATGTTATCACTAATCTGATAAGAGTCGGGCTGTATGGAGACCCGGCATAGATATACACGGAATTGTAGGAAACACTCGGTGTGGCAACTGTGAACAGTGCAATTCATCATTCTTTCACACCGTTGTTATTGACTTAAGTTACATCTAAAAGTGAAATATGTTGAATATGTTGATGTACTTATCATTAGTTATATACCAATTAAGAGCAAGTGCTACATGTTGCAATTTCCAACCTTCGCACTAAAGAATATTGTGATGCACTGTTAATATTGCATTAGTTGTGCAAATTAGGAGCAAGTGCTACATATTAGTTTCCGTGCAGGAATGTGTGAAGCCCTAACTTGTTGTCCAAATTGTACGCAGACATTTCTTTAAGTGTTTCACTCATTGGTCCACGACACGGAATGTGGCACCTAGGATGAGTTAAGTCTCTTTTATAAAGGGCTTTCTCACCGAAACGTCCTGGCATGTCGGTGACAAGAGCACGTTACTTTACGCTGTCGTATTTATTATCTTGATTCTAAATTACCAGTTCTTGTTCTGTCCCGTTAAGGAGAGAATCAACATCTCTTCATGTTTGTCCAAAATGTCTGTCTGTTGGAGGATGGACAACCTTATGCAAAGGCTCGTCCTCCGATAATGACGGCGGATCGAATAATTCCAGATAAATTTTAAGAAACAAATGCAGTAGTCGATGATTGTTAAACGTCGAAAACAGTTCAGCCAATGGCCTACAATAACATGATGACCGTCTAATCAACGTGACAAGACGCTATTGTTTCATTCCGAAGCAGTCAAGTGTACGATGACTCTTAGAGCAATTCGCGAGTCCGACGTTTTCTTGCTTTCCATTATATGTCAGTATTACTTGTCAGTAGAACGTGGAAACGTTCGATACGTGTGTCCCCTATGCCCTGCAGTAAATAAAGACATTGCAGTACAGACTAGTCACTGTAACAAAGAACGGTGTTTATACGGAACTTCAATGTACGGGGTCACGCTATGCTGGTGGTTTTATTATATCTTTAACACGAAGTAAAAATGGCGATTTGGACTAGGAAGTATTATGTTAAAGCGATGGCATTTAGCATTTTGAGGTTTCTCAACAGCTGGAGTAGATTAGTATCAGCCGACCAAAGTTACAGCAGGCCCCTGGTCATACGTTTTTTACGAGCAGATCAAACGTACCAGTATACATATCACATCCTGTAGGATCCGATATTCGGGAAAAAACGTCGCAATTAACCCGATATTACATATTTCATACTTCAGTTGATCTGTTTATGAAACACACATGAACACAAGTATTCACCTGTGAAACTTCACACCAAAAAACCAATTCACTTGCGTTTTTGATTACTTATTTTGAAGGGACAACGCAATTCACCTCAGTGACTTGAAATACTCGGGCTGAGTCACATTACTGTTTACAGTGTGCCACCCATGAGATCAATACGTTTCCCTCAACATGTATAGTCTCATTAAAATGACTCGTTAAAGATGTATCAAACATATGAGAAAACTCTCCAGAAATTGTCAATTAAATAGGAGTCGATTGACTGATGTAGTTGTATCTATAGAGGTGTACATACGACGTTCTGACGAGATGTCTACAGTCATATACGCACATTCTGTGTCATCTATTTCATTGATTTGAATTCTTTACATTCCTATATCGTTTTCACAATAAGACATCGGGATTTACAATACGCGCGGGGCGTTCTTATGGTGAATAGCTTGTCCTCTCAACAAACATCGACCACAGAAACAGGTCGCTACCTCATCATTGATCTCCAATGTCTGATATCTCGGTAATAACTAGACATGTTTGTCACAGGGGGAAATGCAAATGCTATTTATCACGATTCATCAAAGTTTAATTTCAACATGGGGTTTAGTCTATGATAGTGTGTGTATTATATACATGTAGCTAGTGTTATGATAAGATGTGTATTTCCTTAAGTTTATGTATGATTTATATGTCCTTAATAATGATGCAATGCATGGTGACATGTTAAATCCTTTGCAATGCTTGCTACTGCTGGTCCTCTTAGGCATTTGTTATGGGATCATAACTCTATTTAAGGATGTATGCTACCTTGTAATTATGATATGTCCCTTTTATCCGGAAGAGTTCCAACACTGAGAAATGTTTCGACTCGCTAGAATAAAGAACGACAAATTTAAAAGGTCATAAAATGTACGCATTGATAAATCCAGATAAGTTCAAATTATTACACAATGCAAATTAAAAACAAAAAGACATTTAACAGAGATAATTGTAACAAAACTCATAGGTAAATTGTGTGAGGTAGCATGCACCCGTAAACTGTGTTAGGTAGCATGCATCCGTAAAAGGAGTTGCGATCTGTAGGTCTGAATGATCAGTATACTTAAGGAGTGCAACAGTATTAATATTATAATATATGCCGAGAACACTTACAAGGTGATTGATAATGAACCTGTTGTGTGGTCAGACTTGTATGGTTGTCACGACACTCTTAACGGTAATATACATGTACAACTTGAACACCACAAATAACAGTATCTCTATCCTCAACAGCCTCCTGCACACGTCCTCCAGCAGCAGAAGCTCCCTCAGTCCCGACTCTAGCTTTGACGCCTTTCTCCGATCTCCGACTGGTAACGGTATGGACCCCTACATGGCTTCCCTGGACGATAACCCAGAGGCTTTGTTCGGTAGGTACAACACGTGTGTACAAAGTAAATGGTCATACTTTCAATGTTTTACGTACCTTCACTATATAATCTATCATCACATTACTATAAACCTTGCTCGTCTTTGACGTATATACATGTAGTCGCAGTATACATTATTTGTATATCTCAGTATATTACATACATCATCAACATACTCTATAGCCATTGTAAAGAAATACTAAAATTAGTGCATAGTAAACTAGTCCGCATATATTGTCAATACCCACGACACATACATTTGTATACTCAACAAGCATTTCAGATGTTTCAGACAAACACCTTGATCGTTACATGGAGGTTATGTTACCTCTCATCCCGATGATTTCATAGTATCGGACTATCCCCATCCTACACGCCATTGTTAACTTATCCTTACAGATATCCTCACCATACAGTCTATGCAGGAGCGTTACTCTGATTCTGAGAAAACGGAAGTGAGTAACGACAGCTTTGTTGACGTTGCTTTGGTGACGGACCAGGATTTTGAGAACTTTGTGAGAGAATTTCCGATTGATGATAGTATTTCCGAGTGCTTCGCCTCTGACAACTTCAACAGTGCGCCTGCTCCCGTCGTGAGTACTGATACCAAAATTACATGTCTGGTAAAGCTTATAGACTACTGTAATAACTAACGAGTTTTACCCCCAAACTGTATACCTACACCGTGGTACCCCTACTACAAGAAACTTTCATTCGCTGTTCCAAGTTAACCGTTCATAACTAGCAGTCATTTAACATTTACCATTGTATGTTTTCTCCCAGAAATATTTACTGACACATTTCAGTACGCCTTTGGACATTATTATAATTAGTACTGCTTTATTCAGTTATTTCTCATGAGAGCTTGCATATGTTACTAATTAGTCCCTTTAAATTACAAATATAATGTGTTAAGCATCCATTTGTTCACAATTCATGAAACTTTTGTTTTTAGAATTCCAAATACAGACAATCTCAACCACGACCCAATAAACTAAAGAAGAAACACATACCTAATGGTATCCATGACAACCATATACTAAGTGACGACGATGCTAAATCGAGCGACTCAAAGAAGTCAAAACTAGGGAGCCTCTTTCACCGTAAACCAAAGGTCAAAGATCAAAACAAGAACGCCAACACTGTAGACATTCAAAGCGATGTTCAAGGAGACGAAACAGCGATTGGGGTCAAGGTCAGCAGAGAAGAGGCGTCACGCAGCCAAAGTTCCCCTCGCAAGCTACCTCCTCTCCCTAGGGTAAAAGGAGGATCTTCAGGTGGATCAATAAAGGGATCAGTGGACTCCCGAAAATCAAAGTCGTCTTCTCAACAGGAGGTGAAATACTGGTTCTCCATCATTGATGTAGAGGAGGATGAGGATACGATTGTAAGTTGTACACTAAACAATGTCCCTGGTCTAGGTTTCTGTTTGCTCTATTTGTAACCAAACATACATCAGTGCTAATAAGTGTTAGTGTTCTTGTATGTATCGAATTGGTGGTGATACTAGCGAGGTTACATTAAAATGTGATGCTCATAGAATTCAGATGTTAACGTCAACCAAGAGTACATTCCATATGTACTTTGATGATGGGTTACTACATTATCGTTATGTATATAGAGCGATTTACTTCAATGTAACTACAGATCAGTTAACAGTGTCTTTGGTTTTATGTCCAGGAAAATATTTCCAGAACGTTCCAACAGATGTCTTTCATTGTATTAACACAGGACATTTCCAATACATATCTCATAATTGCCATCTCTCCAGATTCAGACGCTGACGTCATGGCCGGAGGGGCGACTTATGAAGCTTAGGGATGGCCAGGGAAACACACTACTACACAGGGCAGGAATGGTTGACAAGGCTAAAGTTATCACCGAACTCGGAACTCGGTTTCCAGAACTGATATATGATCTCAACTATGATCGGCTATCTGCCTTAGACGTCTCTGTACAGGTAGCTTTAACGTCTGCTGTATGTTGTACTGTTTGGTGACTGAAAACAAATTAGGCATTAAAGCATCCAGAAACTTATTTTCAAAGGGGGTTGGTGCGCCACGTGCATAATCTAGATATGCTCGTGTGGTATTTAAATTAAAGGTCTAATGTGAATTTTATACTTCCTTTATTTGCTGAAGGGGCAGTATGAACTTGTCAATTCCTATCACTCTTGCCAGTTGTCTTTGCGTGTGACTTAAGAATTAAAGATAATAGATATGTGCAAAAACAGTTGCTTCGGATTGTTTTAGTCTGTAGCCAAAATGTGGGGGATAGCAACCCCTAATAGTTCGACTATCTTGTTGCTTAACTATTCAAGAAAGCAATTATAAAGGAATCACTTTTGATTGTGTTGTATTTTAAGTTACTTTGTAAAATCAGTTTCCAAGATTCGTATTTATATAGTTCCTTCATAAACGGCTCATTGATTCTTGCGAAACGTAATCACCGTATTACATTGTATGTGATGATATTAAGACTTAATAATTTCCAAGTTCTCATTGTGGATAGTGTGGTGTTTTGATGTCATCAGTTGTGTTTTAGGTTTACGATTTAATTATCAATTATTGTTTGCCAACTCATTTCTCTTATATTTTGAGCTACCCGAAGACATAAACTTTATTTCTAATCTGTGATCACTGGTGATTGTTCACAGAAACCGTAGGACATGGTTAATAGTGATCAGACATGGACACATCCTTTCTCTACATCTTTTTGTATCCGAGATATTTTTTTCACACAGAGCATCACCCTCTTCTTAGGATGAAAATAATGAGTACTTTGTTGTCAAATAATATAGTGCTTGGGCCATCACAAAGGTGAATGTAGGGTATAGGAAGGACCATGCGAAATGTTGCACCTGTAAATTTTACCGTTTGATGTATCATCCATATCTTTTCCACCTCGTTTGACATTTGTTTTTATTCTTTCTTTATTTTCAACAAAGTCTGGAAAGGAAACGGCCATGAGCGCACTATTCAAACTACAGTACGGCGATGAGGCGCCACCGTCAGGGATTGTAAGCAAACTGCTGGAAGTAGCGGCAAAGAAGGGAGAGGTAAGTACTGTATTGTATATTAAACTGTTTCCAACCTTGATCATAACCGAATGCATTTGTTAGTTATTGTTACAAGCTATATTGCATAACTACAACAAAACCCCAAAACATTACTTTCAGTCCCTGCCACGTCGTTCAGTACAGAAAGTTAAAACCGTACAGTGCAACACAATGCAAAACTAAATCTATCGAACACAATGTAGTCATAATTTAATTTCAACATATCTTACATTTTCGGGAACATCTATTTAAATGAGTTGGTACATGTTGTTACCCATATCAAGTGTTTGAAAAAATAAACTAAACATGAAGTTTATTGTAAAGGTGATTTGTTATCCACAGTGTGGCTGTCTTGAGAAGTTGCTCAGCTTCCTGTCCAGGGATGGAGGGGGGCAGTTGACTTTACCTAAGAACAGGGGCGGTGACACAGCCGCGCATGTCGCAGCAGCCCATGGTCACGTGACGTGTCTACATGTAAGTTGCAATCATGATTACAATGGAAGTTTGTTTTACCAGATGGTTTCCATAGATCCTGTCCTAACACTCAGAATCCCAAAATGGGTAGGAATATACCAAATAAGACAGTTGGGTAAATTATCTGCTGATGTTTTGCTGTTAATGTTCTTTATTTCCGGTGTTTAGTCTCTTAATGAACTGACAGACTGAAAATGTTGTTATGAAACCATAACGCATATGACTATAGCATGTAAATATTTACAATTTAAACTCCGAGTCTTCCTTGTCAAAACTGTATGCATTTTCGGGGACCAATACTTTTGTTGAAATGAAGTGGAGAATCATTTATAGTTTCCAATTTACCTTTGTCGGATGAGGGAAATGGTAACTTAATAAAACACGACCATATTTATCCAAAACAAGAGAGATAAAATAACCCTTCCATCGTTTGGTAAAACAGGTTAACATGTGACAGTAACCAAATGACATGATACTTTCCTTGCTGTTTTGAACGTGCAAACCATCATAAATATTGAAAAGATGCATTCGAAAGAAAATGTGGTAATGAAATTGCAAAGTCGTATATCCACTGTTAAGCTGAAAAATAATTACTACGGAAATAATTACCGTCCCCGTCGAAGCTTAATCGCGAGGGATACTACAATGAAAACCTCCATCTGTTACAGGTGCTGATAGAGCAAGGTTTCTCAGGTTGGACAGAGAACGCTGAAGGTTTACATCCCTTGCATGTGGCCGTGCAACATCATCAGATGGCGTGCTACCACTTCCTGCTTCTCCACCAGTGTTGTAAATGTCTGTTACGGGACCACAAGGCGGACAGCCTTACTGCCAACAGGTGTGTACTACAAACAAGATGGCTAATTGGGTAACATAAGACCATAATTACAGTCTTTAAATTAGTCACAATCAAATATAAGATGAATCTATCAGACAGACCTGTAAACATCAGAACATTTACTATTTTAGTTTGGAAAGAGTTGAAACGTTTGAATGTTTTGAATCGATCATTTTTCATCTAAATACAGGTGATGTGCGTTGTGTTACCGTTTTTTATGTTCTATTTCAGAATTCGATCAAGCAGGATAACCACTCAAAGTGCCATTGAACAGGTATATTTATTTTAGGTTCCGTCAATACTTTATAAGTTGTTTTTTCACAACTCTAAACCACAAAACAAACTAGTGTGGTTAGGATAAACTTATTTTGAGGAATAGTATCAGATGGAATTTAATTAATCCATTCCACATTGAGTAGGCGGGAGATTATAACACACGATACCTTAACTTGTTAGTAAATGTATAATAATTTGCTCCTAGAACATGACTGGACCTATCGCTAAAATGTAATGGCCTCCATCAGTATTTCATTAGGAAATAAACTAATTCTAATTCTTTGTGCGACATGGAAGTAGGTGCTTAATTATTATTGTTCTCACTTCCCCGTTTCTCAATTTGAGGAAGTGACAAAACTTGAATTCGAGCAAGAAGCAGAAGGTGCGAATGACCTGTTAATTATAATGTCGGTAAAATTACAGTTGGAACAGCGTCTTGTGTGCCATCAGAAAAACGTGCTGGACACACTGACCACCAGTGCGGAAACACAATTAACTATCACCGAGAGTCTGACCAATCTCTATGGCAAGGTGGAGGGACTGCTGGATGGCATGGACACGGAACATGGCGGACAGTTGAGGTACCAACCAGACAGCTAAACACTTAATGCCATGTCGTTAATTTTGTCAAACTACGATACATTAAGCGTGAGGAGAGGAAACTTCGTAGTAAAAGCTAACACCGTGACACTTTGGAGATTAAATAACTCCTTTTTCAACACAATTTAATAATATCTTATTCATTTTAAGCAGTGGGATTTTCAGACATTCAAACAAGTTAATCAATCTAGACCGATTTCATTCATCGAATCAGACATTCATGTATGTTTGTAGTTGTGTATACGAGTGATATTTAACCGAAAATAAAAGTCCAAAATGATGAATTCATACATTTTTCCATGAAGTAGTGGCCCTGCCGTCACTCTTGCTAGGTCCAATGTGAAAGTACACATTTATACATACACACCTCTTGCAATAGCTCTCCCAGAGTCTTGCCTTTACACTCGTTTTAATTTATAACAAACTGTTTACTCCTGCTCTTTAATGTTGAAACTTAAAAGGAAAGCACACTGTTGAACAAAACATAGTAATGCAAGTTTTTGGCTCCACAGGACACAGCTGGACAATATCCGGGCAGAGGGAGAGCGCCTGCAGGACCTGTTTGAGTTCTCTCCCCTGGCCAGCACCAGTGAACTGTTGTCGAAAGTGCTGAATGACTTCTCTAAGCTCACTTTAGACTCTGATCGATTGGAGGGCGAAAGTGAGAATGTCGGCAATGAACTCTCATCGACATCCTTCATGTAAGTTAAAGAAATGCCAATCTATTCTCTAGTACATTTTATATATGTTTCAAACAACATAGTTTAAGATGCTCCCAGTGTGAAGCATTACCATCATTAAATCATTTGTGGATATCAATACTTAAATGTTTAATTAATCCTATTCAAAAATTGTGTCATGCTTTAATTAATGTTTTCATATGATTACAGATCGAAAGTTGCTGAAGAGGTACAGAAAATTTTACCTTCAAGTAAAAATGTTCCAGGTGATATTGACAGCATCATTGGCACAATTTTGTCAAGACCAATTATTAACACAAATGTTCAGATACAGAAACAGAAACACGTGCGTCCACCATACACGACAGTAAGTGCTAGGTCTAAAGAAACTTCTGATGTGTCAGAAGTAGCTCCATCAAATACAGTGAAACCTAGAGAAAAAGAAGTGAAATTCTCCAACGTGTTACCCACAAATCGTCCACCAGAACAGCATCGCGAAAAACAGCTTGTGGTACGTGATGCTCCTTTGTATGCATCTAGATACAGTTCACGGCAGCTTCAAGACCGAATGTTTCCTCGTGCCGACCAAGAGTCAGTTTGTTCAAATACGCTAACACTGACTTCTGGTATAACAGGAACTGAACGGACCTCGGATTGGACATCACGTGTTGAAACATTAAGTGCAGAATCGAGTGACTCGGAATCTGATTGGTGGGAAGATTCACGGCACAGTGCTCCAAGGTGGCGTCACAGAAGAGCAGATGAAGATGAGGAGGATGAATATTACGACGACGACGATACTTTTTCTGGCAACAACGTGGTGCTTAATTTAGAAAACGAGGACGCTCCAGATGAGGTGCTGCGGGAACACCGACTTTCCCAACACTTGCAAGCTATGAAACGGTTTAACACAGAACGGACTGACCTGGTTGAGACTGTGGTAACAGCTAGTGGACGGAGACTGGGAGGACGGGTCAGACCGGACCCGTCTTACATACACAACCCAGATCTTCGCCTAAGTCACCATCGATACAACCAGCAAGAGGCCAAATCAGACTCGCTTCGCAACGGAAAGATTAAAGACCGACAGAGGTCAAAGATCAAATTGTTCAGTGAGGAGGACATACAGGGACCTAGTGAACTGACACAGTCAGAGTTTCTAGACAGTTATGGGCGGACAGCGGGCGAGTTTGGACGGACGACAGAAAAACAGGAGAAACGTTGGGACGAGGTTTCATTGACAGTAAGTATCCGTTTCTTATGACTGAGTTTTTATAACAAATATGTTTTTATAACGAATCATCAAAATGTTGCT